CCACACGGGGTGACAACAACTTCTGAAAAGGCCGTTCAGCCTATCCTGGCATCTAGAGGAATGTCCCCATCTTAGCACCTGGACATTAAACACACATAGCATTTTTAACAATCAGGATGCTAAACAAAATAAATAACAACCATAAAAATATGAGGACAAATTAAATACAAAACCCTTTGCAGGCCAAAGCAGATCTTAAAAAGCCATTTAGTTCATTCTCCTATTGTTACATAGAACCAAACTAAACCTTCAAAAGGAGAACTAGAAATGGATCTCCAAATGACCTCTCTACACAAAGTCCCAAGCTTCTGCCCCAGGAAATCACTGCCAACTGGCTGATGTCAGTGCAGGTTCTCGGTGTTTCTAAAAGGGGGAAAGAAGGGGGTGGAAGTATACATTGTATGAAAAATGTGCAAGTTAAAGCCATGTCATAAAACATTTGAATAGCCCATTCATTTTTAATTCTTCTGTAATTTCTGTGATCAATTTAAATACGATGAACTCATCTGACATAATGTGAGTATCACAGGAACTTTTCCAAGACTCCCGTTGTAATTCATCACTAACTGGACGGCTGTTCAAATTTACACAGTTCCCTGCTATCTGCCTCTAATAGCCAGACTGAAGCCATTTCATTTGCCTACTGGCGGGCTTACCCATTAATTACCAAAGATGACACAGTGCCAGTGGGATCCAAGCCCGTGTGTGTGCCCCGATGACCTAGTTGAATGAAATCTGGCCTCGCATCCAACAGAACACAGGTTTAATTCCTAGCTCGAGGGGCTGGATGACAGTATGTCTAACAGTTTGAGAGAGTGGTGCAGGGAAAACTGAGCTGTCTTATGCACCGTTTAGAAACAAACAACAAAAAAGTCTAAGTGATTTCTCATCATCTCAATGCGATCGTCCATGGACTTTTATTCACTCTTCCTCCCTCACCCCCAACAACCAATTTCCTAAAATTCGGGGCTCTGGGTCTATGGATTTAAATATTGAAATGTGGCCGGTCTCTACTTCTACATTTTCTGCCTAAGGGAAAGATGGATTAGGAAAAAGATTAACCTCACTATCCCTGAAATAATGGATTCTGAGACCCTGGTGCTTCTAATCTACTCCTGAGGATCATTTTAAAGCAGAAAATAAAGGCCACGCACTGCTGAGTTTCTTCACATACTCAGAATATGAGTATGTTTCAGTCCTATTTGACATTTAGATATTTCAGAATCACAGGACCTTCTTTGGTGGGAAAAAAATATATAGTCTTTAAAAACCCCTAAGGTCTCTAGGAAACAAATTGTAACCAACAATCCCCTCACGTCTCATTACAGGGTGCAAATTTCTATCTAGGATTCCTCTGACCTTGTTCAGCTGGTGCTAATAATAGAATTATCTGCTCCATTTTAAAACAGTTCTGTCTACGATGCTATCATGCTTCATACTATGGGGGAAGAGGAAGGCTAGTCTGGAACACACAGAATTTGAGAGACGAGAAAGATTTTGAGGAGTGGATCCAGGTGGGTGTCCAGCGAGGCAGTAGAGCCCAATGGTTAAGGGTGCAGCTGGCTGCAAAGTCCAGCTCCAACCCTCACCACTTCCGGGCTGGAAAATGAGGGTAATGTCAGCACCTACCTCAGAGCGTTCAAGGAGCAAACGAGACAATGAGTGTTACGGGCTCACGCAGCACTGAAGCGAGACAGCACTCACTAGATGGTAGACAGAGTTGGCATTTACACACTGCAAAGCCCTGCCATTCAGCAATGGGTGATGTACATGGCACTATGCACCTAACCTAACACCCTCCGCCATATGAGAACCCACTAACCACCGCCTTTTAAAAAGCTATTCTTTATGTCTACGTCACTGCTGCTGCAGTGTGCCTACATCTTTACATAATCAGCAGAAAGGACCTCTTATTAAAAGGAATGAAAACAATTACTGGGATCACAGAGTGATAAACTACGTCAACCCCAAACTTATGAAGATCAGTGACAATGAGAGCGCTGGATTGTTCTTAAATACCATGGTTTCATTTTAACATTGATGAAGCTAGTGTTTTCACAAATCTTTTCTGGTAGCAAATATCATTCTCCCTATGAAAGGTCAGGAAAAATGGAACACGAAATTACCAGCTCAATACCACAGATACCAAATATTAGACCCCAAACATCTCCATATTCTCAGTCTTTCCTTGGTATTCCAAAGGCAAAGAAAAAAAATCAGACATAAAGATACAAAGTGAAACAGACAGCTAAGCAATTATCCATGAGGGAATTAATCCATGTAAACCTCCCTAATCCTCTTTCCCCTTTTCCTTCTGCCCCTAAACTCACCTTTTTTAAATCCACATCATTTCTCTCTTCAAAACACAAATCATGTATGTGTGGCGGGGGTGGGTGAGAGAGGTTTCAGAGGTAAATAATACCAAGGCCTCTTCCCATAAATCACATAAATGGTTCTCTTAATTGATCATGTAGGGACTTCCCTGGTGGTCCAGTGGTTAAGACTCCACGCTTCCACTGCAGGGGGCATGGGTTCGATCCCTGGTCGGAAAATTAAGATCCCGCATGCCGTGTGGCACGGCCAAACCATAAATAATTAAATAACTGATCGTGTATTCCTCTACTTCTGTATTCAGAGGACCAACCCCCCACCCTACTACACACACACACACACACACACACACACACACACACACAGGAGAGAAATGCAGGCTGTGGCAGGGGTAAGGGAAATAAACACCAACGTTCACTGGAGTTATAACTATTCTCTGAGATCTCTTTGTAGTTATTCTTAAGGGAAAGGGGTATCCTCCAGGGGAGGAAGAGATGGATAAATGATACAGAAACAAAACGTGTTTGTCATTCCCCAAAGAGAAGCCCCTTGGATTTCCCTCTAATGAATTCTGTCATCAGCACCCAAGAAGCAAGAGCTTTTTTTTCCCAGGCCGGAGATTTGGTTTCTATGGCCTGGCATCTTTTCCATCTCCCACGCCCTTCCCTCTAGTGAGTCATTGATGTCCTAGTGGCTACTGCCGCCCACCCCCACACGGTACCCCCGGTGCCGCCACCATCCTGACCACCCCTACAGTCACGACGACCTCCACCCATGACCCCAGCTATGGAGACCACCATCACCATCACCTGCCCGCACTACACTGTTTCCCCCGTATCTGTTACTTTTTAAATCTCAATGATACATCAGTCATCAGTCACATTCTCCACCTGCAGCCCCATCTCTGGACCCAACATACTGGTGCATCTCTCTTACCCTGTATTTATCAATCAATATCCACCCGCTAACAACAACATAACAGCTTTTTGTCTCATCAGAAGATTAATTACAAAAGTTCATCACTAGAGAAGAGCCAGCCATTACAGGCACACTCAGCATTTTGAAAGCAACTCCTTTTTACAGGGGAAAAACTCAAGTTTAAATAGTCCTTAAGGGGCTTCCCTGGTGGCGCAGCGGTTAAGAATCTGCCTGCCAGTGCAGGGGACACGGGTTCGAGCCCTGGTCTGGGAAGATCCCACAGGCCGCGGAGCAAATAAGCCCATGCGCCACAACTACTGAGCCTGTGCTCTAGAGTCCGCGAGCCACAACTACTGAGCCCACATGCCACAACTACTGAAGCCTGCGCACCTGGAGCCTGTGCTCCGCAACAAGAGAAGCCACCGCGATGAGAAGCCCGCGCGCGGCAACGAAGAGTAGCCCCCGGTCGCCGCAACTAGAGAAAGCCCACGTGCAGTAACAAAGACCCAACGCAGCCATAAATAAATAAATAAACAACAACAACAAAAACACCTGCTTTTAAATAAATAGTCCTTAAGAACAAGAACTTTACAGAGGTGGTGATCTACAGAATAAAACCACTCTAGAAGTGCTGGGAATCTGAAGGTACACACTATCACTCAATTGCAGGAACTGAGTCACTAATTTGGTTTAAAACATGGCTTAGGTTTTCCCTCCCTAGTTTTACCCCTAGAAAACGCAGGCCAGCCCTCTGGCCTCCAAACCTACAGAAGCTACTGTCCCTCTGATAAGTGTCTTTCGATCAATCCAAGTGTCCAATCAAAGCCATACCCCAAACTATTATTTCTCTCTTGTCCTCAAGGACCAGAACTTAATTTAAAAAAAAAGCAAAGCCAGCCTGGCAGTTGTTCAGGTTGCAAACTGTGCAAGGCCACCACATTCAAGGGGGCGCCATCCACATCATCTTAAAAATTGTATTTTTATTACAACTTTGATGACTTAAAGATGGGTAATTTATTTATCTTACAAGTTTCCAGCATATGGCAATAAAGTGTCTTGTCCTAAAAATCAGTACAGTCCAACCGTTCTCCATCAGATGGACGTAAAAAGTGTGTGGAAGGGATGCCTTTGCCTAATTTGCACAGAATGCCACATAGACTAGCACCAGCCCCCAGAAAAGCTTCTCTCAAACGTCTCAAATGTTTTAAACTTTCCATGGTCTCGGCTGTTCACTAAAGCTTCTACGCATCATTTAATAAACTCGGTTTGCACTGCATTAACTTTTTCCCTCCCAATCTGGTCTTTTCCTCTCAAGAAGCACATCCTCTAATCAAGACAAGCCCCTAAATACGACTGCATCCTCTTGTTCTACTTCCGTCAACTGATATCATTAAACACATGTTAACCATCACACCATAACCTTTTGTTGCAGGAGAAGATTAATCACCACCAGGAAAGAGATGTCCTCATATACACACTCCTCGAATTTAAAATCATTAACAAAACACGTTGCTCAAACTTGAGTTCCAGTCAACGTCTGAATATAATCCTCACATCTTAAAAAAAAGCAAAATTGAATTAAGCTTTCGTATGAGAATTCATTTTTATTTGCTTGCATCATTAATAATATTTACCCAAAATTACCACCAGCTATTTACTTTGACTACCAAGAAGTATCATACATTTAAGAGGCAACTATGAGCCCCAGTCAAATGGAATCATAAATTGAACAGAAATCCACATAAACTCACCTTGACCCCCAGAAAACAAGTTTTACTGCCATTGGTGACAATTTGCCCTACTTGACAATCCAGGTGCAGAAACCTTAAAAAGAGAAGGCACAGGAAAATTCAGAAGACAGGAGCAAGCTTCAGGGAAACATAAACAGGTACTTCATTACACTACTACTTCTCAATGAAAAATAAAGTTAGTGCAGGAGTTCTTGAATCTAGGCAATAATTGTGCCACAAATAGACTCTTCATAATGGGAGTTGTTTCAACAAACTCACTACTTTTCCATTGGCTGTGTCTAGGATTTTAGAGATACTTAATCTTATATTCAGATTAATCCTCAATGGAGTACATGACTTCAGTTTTCTATTTTAATCCCTCAAGTAGTTAACCATCTGAAAACTGATTCTTAAATACACCATATAAATGAAGTATCTTAAGAACTTAAGACTTGGCTTTTATCAGGGGAAGAATACCACTGATACATGAATAATCATGTCCATTTTGTAGATCTTAATTGTCTTAAATTGCACCAAATTTACACTTGTTATGCTTCTGACGTTCCTATAATTCAGAAGAAATAAAGAGCCAGAGCAACTGTAAATCCTACAATATTAACAATATTAATATTAATTAAATCCTTAATACAACTGTATTTCAAAATAAATCAGCAAAAATTACTTTCTCCTCTAAATTGTCCAGCAAGGATATTAGTTGCTCAATGGTAGAAAAGAGACAAATTCTCCTCCCAAATGCTACTGCAATAGATACCACAGAAGGCCTGCTAGTATTAGGTTGAGTCATATAAAATTACTGATAGGCAACCATTTTTTACCTGCAAAAAAAACAATTTTATCCTTTTTCCAAGCGAAGAAATAGACAGAATTGGAAAACCCAGTGATTATGAAACAATTAAATCTCCAAAACTACCTATCGCTGTGCGCACGTCATTTTCTGAGCAGCATCAGGGGTTTGGGTATTATTAATGTTTCCATTCCAAGCCAACACATCTTCAGGGCACCTGAAAGACAATGAATGAATTGCCTCCAGCATTTGGAAGGGCTTGAGAATACCTTTTCCACTCTTTCTTCCCACCTGGTCCCTATTTACTGCCAACTCCCTCTAGGCTTCCTCCTTGAAACAATAAAGAGTCTTTTCCGAGAGCATAAATGTGGCAGAGAGAAAAGCTGAAGGCTGGAAGGCAAAGAGGTGAGAGGAAGAACGCAGATCTCTAAGAAGGGCAGGCACAAGGGACAGCATGTCCAAGTGAGTGAGGACCGTGGCTGTGTCTATATAACCTCAACACAGTCAATCAGATGAAGAAAATTAGACCCTAAATTGTGATTATCTCAACTCTTGACTTGTCCCCGCTGGCTGCCTGCGAGTCAATCTCCCAAGGAACAAATTTCTAGGAGGCACTCGACTGGAGAAGAGTCGGGGACAGCATTCTCTCAAAGATCTTATATATTATATTGATGCCATACTCAGCAGCGAGCTGTTACATCCAATTTGAGGAAATCCCCATACTTTTCAACTTGTAAACTTTTTTTTTTTTGCGGTACACGGACCTCTCACTGCTGTGGCCTCTCCCGTTGCGGAGCACAGGCTCCGGACGCGCAGGCTCAGTGGCCATGGCTCACGGGCCCAGCCTCTCCGCGGCACGTGGGATCTTTCCGGACCGGGGCACGAACCCGTGTCCCCTGCATCGGCAGGTGGACTCTCAACCACTGCGCCACCAGGGAAGCCCTCAGCTTGTAAACTTGGTAAGCCCTTCCTGCATTCGTTACATGTGTGTGAGGTGAGTGGTGTTATCAAGGTTTTTGTAAATATTTACTATGTTTTTCTATTTAGCTTAATTCCAATGATTCTGTACTTTAATAAAATGTTGTAAACAATGCAAAAAAACAACAACAACGAAGTGAGTGAGGAGCAAGGTGCAGGGGGCAGATGGATGAAGGGTTAGATGCAAGGGAAGAAAGCAGAAGGGCTGCCAGTCCTTATATGGTGGGCGGGGCGGGGGAGGGGCAGAGATCACACCACACTGAGAAAATCAAACAGCTCCAAGTCCAGATGGGATGAAGGAGAGGTTTACTTCTGTCTAATGTACTTAGGAACCCATCTATCTGAGGACCTTCCCTAACCACCACTCCCACCCATCCCCCCACTGCTACAAGCACCACCTGCAGCACAGCAAACACCAGCACAACCAGACCCACGGCTATCGCGCCACTAGGACTAAAACCAACAGCCTCGAGGCCATGTGAGTGCCCTGGATACAAAAGTCTACATGTTCTCAAAGCATGTTTTCTTCTGAGATGGAACAGGAAGGGCGTAAATAACTGTCCCTCCTACCAGGAGACCAGTTAAATGAGCCGCCTACCAAAAATCGTTCTGCTTTGTTTTTTGTGTGAACGTGCAGCCAGTTGCAAAATAAACTTCTTGATCTCTTTTTATGCCATTCACCTATTTCTCATTCCCTATTTTTAAAATTAATTATCTGAAGATAATATTTTGAATATATTAGGTTAAATAAAATATATTAAAATTAATTCCATCTGTTTCTTTTTTCCTTGTTAATGTGGTTACTAGAAAAGTTAAAATTACATCGTGGCTCACATTGTATTTCTATTAGACAGCACTGCTCTATAAAGTATAGCCTGTCTCTCCCTTATTAAGAAATCTGTGAAGATGCTCTTAACTTTTCCCAACGCTAAGAGAGCCACGGACACCAAAGACTGCACCGCGGTGATATACAGCATGGCCCTGCTGGACGTACAGACGCTGCTCACATGTTAAAAGCTCTCAGAATGTTGCATTCAAAGTTCGACCAACTCACTAGTCCCTAATATCAGTTGTTGCTTCACACGTAACCACCAACTTTCCTGAGGTTTCTGATCTTCCAGTCTAGGTATTTTACTGAATTCTGAGGCCGCAGCCCTGTAGGGAAGGACAGGGTCAGGACTACGATGAGACAAAGCACCTGCCTCAGGCACGAAATTTAAGAGGAACCAAAACACTCCGTAAGCAAGATGAATAAATTTTTAAATAACAGCTTTACTGATATGTAACTCACATACCATAAAATGCACCATCTTAAAGGGTGCAATTCAGTGGTTTTAATATACTCACAAAATTGTACAACCATTGTCACTATCCAATTTGAAAACATTTTCATTACCCCACAAAGAAACTACATCCCGATTATCAGATACACCATCACTCTCCCTACGCCCAGCCTCTGACAACCACTCATCTATTTTGTCTCTATAAATCTGCTTATTCTGGGTATTTGATATAAATGGAACCACAAAATGTGTGGCCTTTTATGTCTGGCTTCTTCCACTTAAAATGTTTCCAAAGTTCACACATGTCAGTACTTCATTCCTTTTTATGAATGAATAATATTCCATTGTATGAATATGCCACATTTTATCCATTCATCAGTTGACGGACAGCTGAATTGTTTCCAGTTTTTGGCTATTATGTACAAATTGGTGTACAGTTTTTATATGGATATATTTTCCACTCTCTTAGGTATATGCTTCGGAATGGAATTGCTGGGTTATATTATAACTCTATGTTTATAATCTGAGTAACTAGCAACAATTTTCCAAAGTGTACCATTTCACAGTCCCACCAGCAACATATCAGGGTTCCAATCTTCACCAACACTTGGTATTATATTTTTTATGTTAGCCATCTTAGTGGGTATGTAGTGATATCTCATTGTACTTTTGATTTGTATCTCCCTAATAACTAATGCTGACCATCTTTTAATAGGTTTATTTGTCATTAGTGTATCTTCTTTGGAGAAATATCAACTTGAAGCCTTCAATTTTTAATTGGGTTATTTATATAATTGACTTGCAACCATTCTTAATACATTTTGGATACAAGTTCTTATTAGATACATAATTTGTAAAAATTTGCTCCCCTTATATGGGCTTTTTCTTGATGATACTCTCTAAAACACAAAAGTTTTTAATTTTTTATTAAAGCAACTTATATATGCTTTCTTTTGTTACTTATGCTTTTGGTATCATATTTAAGAAACCACTGCCTACTCCAAGAGCATGAAAATTTACTTCTATGTTTTCTTCTAAAGGTCTTTTTATTTTAGCTTTGACGTTCAAATCAGTGATCCATTTGGAGTTAACTTTTATATATAGTGCGAAGGTGCAACTTCATTCTTCTGCATGTGGACGTACAGTTACTCCAGCACCATTTGTTAAAAAGACTATTCTTTCTCTTTGAATTGTCTTACCACCCTTGTTGAAAAATTATAAATGTAAGCGTTTATTTCTGGACTCTCGATTTTATACCACTGATCTATAAAAGGCTATACTTATGCCAGTACCGCACCATCTAATCACCATAGTTTTGTAATAAGTTTTAAAATCAGGAAGTGTGAGTCCTTCATCTTTGTTCTCCTTTTTCAGGATTGCTTTGGCTATTCTGTGTCCCTTGCATTTCCATATGAATTTTAGCATCAGTCTGCTAAAAGAGCAGTTGGGATTACATTGAGTCTGTAGGTCAATTTGGGAAGCATTGCCATCTTAACAATATTGTCTTTCAGTCCATGAATAGGGGATGTCTTTCCATTTATTTAGCTTATCTTTACTTTCTTTCAATGATGTTTTCAGTGTAGAAGTCTTGCATGTACTTTATTCTATTAATATGGTGTATTACACTGATTTTCATATCTTAAGCCACCCCTGCATTCCTTAGAGAAATCCCACTTGGTCATGATGTATAAACCTTTCTATATGTTGCTGGATTTGGTCTGCTAGTATCTTGTTGCAAATGTTTGTATCTATATTCATAAGGAATACTGGTCTGTGCTTTCTTATGTTTTTTTCTTCTGGTTTTAGTATCCAAATATTAATGGCCTCAAAAATGAGTTGGGGGCTTCCCTGGTGGCGCAGTGGTTGAGAATCTGCCTGCCAATGCAGGGGACACGGGTTCGAGCCCTGGTCTGGGAAGATCCCACATGCCGTGGAGCAACTAGGCCCGTGAGCCACAACTACCGAGCCTGCGCATCTGGAGCCTGTGCTCCGCAACAAGAGAGGCTGCGATAGTGAGAGGCCCGCGCACCGCGATGAAGAGTGGCCCCCACTTGCCGCAACTCCACAAAGCCCTCGCACAGAAACGAAGACCCAACACAGCCAAGAATAAACAAATAAATATTTTTTAATAAAAAATGAGTTGGGAAATATTCCCTCCTTTTCCATTTTCTGGAAGAGATTGTGCTAAATTATTAATTCTTCACTGTTTGATATAATTTACCAGTGAAGTCATCTTGGTCTGGGATTTTCTTTACAGGAAATTTTAACTAATTCAATTTCTTTACTTGTAACAGGTCACTTCAGGTTTTCTATTTCTTCTTGGGTCAGTTGGGTAGTCTGTGTCTTCCTAGGAGTTTATCCATTTCATCTAGGTTTTCTAATCTGTTGACATGTTATTCATCATATTCCCTTATGGTCTTTTTTATTTCTCTACCGTGGGCAGGATATAAAACTCCCTCTTTCATTCCTGGTTTTGGTAATTGAGCCTTCCTTCTTTTTCTGTTGGTTAGTCAGCTAAGGGTTTGTCAATTTTGTTGATCTTTTAAAAGGATTAGTTTTAGGTTTTATTGATTTTCTCTATTGCTTTTCTATTCTCTAGTTCACTTACTTCTACTCTGGTCTTTATTATTTCCTTCCTTCTGCTTGCTTAGGGTTCAGTTTGCTCTTCTTTTTCTACCTTCTTAAGGTGAAAGATTAGGTTATTGATTTGTGATCCTTCTTCTTGTGTTAATATAGGCATTCTTAACTATAAATATCCCTCTAAGCACTGATTTGCCGGCATAAGTTTTAGTATGCTTTGTTTTCATTCACCTCAAAGCATTTTCTAATTTCCCTTGTGATCTCTTCTTTGACCCACTGGTTATTAAAGAGTATATTGTTTAATTTCCACATTTTATGAATTTCTGAAATTTCCTTCTGCTACTGATTTCTAATATCACTCCAGTATGATAAAAAA